AGTACTATACAACATTTTAGACACATTCTAGACAGTTTATCAGCTAAAAAAAAAGTTAATTTTGGGGTAAGTTACGCTTTAACAACACAATGATTTCTGTTCCTGAAGGAACTTGAGCAGATGAAGTCCCGCATCGCCAGAGATGAGGTGAACGTCGAGGTGGACTCTGCTACCGGGCCGGAGCTGGGAACCGTTCTGTCTGAGCTGCGCTCCCAGTATGAGGGGATTGTCAAGAGGAACAAGGAGCAGGCGGAGCTGTGGTACCGCAAGAAGGTACGAGGAGAAATATGCTTCACTGTCCACTGTTTAATCATTCGTCCACTCTAATGGGCTCATTCTGATGTGCAGCTGGAGACGGTGCAGAATGAGGTGAAGGAGAGCAACGAGGCCTTAAGAGGAGCCCAGGGAGAGCTGGTGGAGAGGCAGCGCTTCCTGCAGACCCTGGAGGTGGAGCTGGAGAGTCTGCACAAGCAGGTGAGCTGGAAACTAAAGCTTGTCGTTCACCTTTCTGGATGTTGTTTAAAAAAATAAAAAGAAAAAGAAAAAAAGAAGCAATAAAAAATAATTATGTAAGCGTAATCCCCACTTTTGGAGCTGAACAAACAGCTTGTGCACATAAAGCAGTGCAAACACTGCAGCTCAGACTTAAAAACGACTGTTGTGTTAACGTTTCACAAAACCACTTTGATTTATAGGGCTGTAGAAGACGGGAGACTGGTTTCACGAGACATTTGTCAAACGGCCACAAAGAAAATCCTTTAAAGGAATTAAATTCAGTCAAGTTGCGTCTCTGTGCATCCTCCTTGTTTCCTTGCCGCTGCGCTGTATGCTCTGGGAATTCTTTGTTTTTCTGCTTGTTTTTCTTTCATGTAATCCTATGTTGACAGTGAACATGTTCTCCCACGTCCAGAAGACACGCAAGGGCATTTGATTCAGTCGCTAAACTGTAGAGGTGAGGAGCGAACAGGTAGCAAGGCCTTATCAGTGCAGGAATCTGCTGGTTGTTGTCTGAGTTTCAGAAMCAAGAGACATTCCTGAGGTTGGATTTCTGCTCAAAACATCTTCTTATGAAGCAAGAGAGGACTGAAGAGTCCGAACTTTATGAGTAATCAGCTAAAATTGTATTGCTAAAGACATTACAAAAGTCATACTGTCATTAGTTTTATAATTCTTCCACTCATCACTGCTCTGTTCTTGATTTTTCTTTGTTTTCACGTCCTGCAGCTGAAAAAAAAAAAAAACAGGCATATTAAAGCATCAAACTCTGCAGCTCAGTGCGCTTTCTGATCGTGAGACAKTTTAAATTTGTAAAAATAAAAAGGTGTGAAAATTTTACACAACAATGTGATTTTTGAGAAAACGCATGCTTACTTTTTAGTTTTTTTATCTGCTTCTCAGAAGTGCTTAACAGGGAGTGAGACACGTGTGTGGTTACCTGAGGTCTATACTTTAAAAAAGCAATAACTGTGAACACCTTCACAGAAAATGACTGGTAAAAATGAATTTCACTAATAAGAAATGTAATTACTGTATTTATTCATGTATATTACTAAAATTTTTACCTTAAAAATTATCCATAAAGTATGTGTGTGTGTG